CAATAGACAATGTGCAAGTCTGGCTCTGTACCCAGTCATGTTAGAAATAGATTTCCCATTTCTTGTCAAATGTAGTACAGTGAGGAGGAATACAGACTGCCCAAATACCCTTGTATATTTATTCAGTATATCAGAATGTTATTATAATAAAAATGATCAGGGGTGTCATTTACTAGGCACACTTTATTGCCAGGATGCTAGGGAATTAACTTGTAGGTGTCTCTCTGAACCACAATGTTACATTTAATAATGAGCTGCATTGAAAATGGAAGCAAATACATTAGGATCATAATTTCATAGGTCATGGGAAGGTGATGCTGTTGGATAATATAGTTTTTCTGGTAATGGGGTTTACCATAGAGATGTCTATTTTTAATTATGAATATCGAACGCATGTGTTCTGTTGCCATGCAATGGTTATTGAAAAGAAGTATATTACTAAAGAGCCTTGCTTCATATGGGTGACTCAGATTCTGGCATGCCCATAAGAAGAAATTGGACCAAGGCTGAACTGTGTTGAAATTAGATGTGCCGCCTGAAGAAGTGTTAAAAGAGGATCAGCTGGGTTTAGGGTTTCATTCAGCCCTGACTGAAAGGAGTGTGTTGCAGAAGTTGTCTGAATTGTCTTATGTGGTATGCTCTCCGTGGGCTGAAGTTGCTTATGTCTTTGGTGTTCTGTTGAAGCGTTGAAGGAAAAACATAAGGTAACGGATACAGACTGGGCACGTAGTGAACGAGTTGAGAGCCAAAGTAGGCGTAGTAACAACGCCACAGGGACCTTTATCCTTTTACCAAAAACTGGCTTTCCTGAGAAATATTCACACTCTGCACGCACAAGAAAATTAAAGGAGCTGCTGGGGCCTTTGGCTTGTGCGGCTGCTTTCTCCGGCGCTCTGCTCCGGGAGCTCCCTGGAGCGCAGGAAACGGCCTCCAACAGGGAGGAGCCCAGCTGTCAGGTGCCATGATTGTGAGGCCCTACAGCTGGCTCCTCTCAGGCAGTGATTTGAGCTGACTGCCTGTCACAGTCGCTTTGTTACTGTCTGTGGATTTTATTTTATTGCAGTTCCACTTTGCAGTTCCATTTTGCGCTGCCTTGGCAGCCTGAACCCTCAGTGTAGAAAAGGCAGCCGGCCTCTTCTGTTATCGAGGCCTGCCAGGCCTTATTGCTTAGTGAAGGTCGTCAGGATGCTGCTGTGTTACTGAGCTCCATCCACCTGTTGCTTAGGTCACCTGCTTATTAGTGGTTAATGTGGCGCCAAGTGATGAATCACATTACACCAGCAAATTGAAGAAGCAGCGTACAGTGCAAAGACTTCGACGCTGGTACTTACAGCTGCCCTCTAATGTGGTTTTCTGTCTTGCAAACAATTTCACTATGCACTAGTCGAACAGGCTGTCCTGACTTCTTTACTTAAATCTTTCTATGATAACAATGTTGCTGTCATGTTTGATTATGCATGTATAGAGAACAGCAATGTGCTGAACAGCAGATTGTGTGGGGAAGGGCCTGGGACCCTTTACTGCTCCTGTGACTGCTGAATATAGTATAATTCACAATTTAAAGCTGTTTGAATTAAATATTATTTCCTATGCAAATTTGCACTTGACAAAAGTCAAATATATCCGTGTCTTTTTTCTGTTTGTGAATCTGTTCAGTTTCATCATTAATTTATATTCATGTATTGCTCAGAATGCAGATTTTTTTTTTGCTGTCCAATTTTGTCTTGGTAAAAAATTTAAAAGCAACTGCAAAGTACTGATATGAAATATTTTTTTCTCCTTTGCTGACTTGGCCTGTTTTACCTATTTGGCCCATTCCAAAGTGCAGACATTGCTGTTTAGTGCTCAAATTTAGCCTACATATGAAGTGTAAATAAAATGTTGCCTTTAGCCTGTGTACCCCTATTGCATCAGTAAACAAATCTGAATTCTTTGTACAATGGTAAACTATCCCAGGGTTTTGTTTTTGCCATTTCCCTGGTAAGAGATGAAATGCAATACATTTTCAAACCAAAGCACAATTGTTACAAGGTATTAAAATACAAAAAAAAGTCTACAAGATGAAATGCACACAGTTGCTTTCAATGTAGAGAAAGTGACAGAACAGAAAGATCATTTTGTGAACAACTGTACAGGATTTATGGCATAAACGTGATATTTGGAATTTTAATCTGAACAGAAAGCAAGCCTACCCTGTTCTAAAATTCATGTTACAGTGAAGCTGTAGTCTGATTGACCACAATACACGTGTAACGTGGCCGTAGTATAGCAGGCTAAAATCAGTTTTTAGGGTGCTTAAAGAATCTCAGCTGACACTTAGTAATAGTAATTTATTTTTCTTCTTTACACCATTACATAGGTTTTGTATATACTGATTTAAATTGTATTTCTACAGCAGTGGATTAGTAACCGCAAAAAGCCGAGACTTTATTATCTGGTTGTATGTATTTCAAATCTTAATGAAGTCTGTTTTTGACCTTCTGTATCAAATGTTGACAAAATATATTTTATTAAGAGGCATGCCAAAAAATCTGTTCAAGTGGAACTATTTTAATATCAGGATGCTTCTGGGAACAGTAAACAAACACGCAGGCACTTTGTATTAAGGTTAACTTAAGCATTGGATTTCAAGGAAATATTGACATAATTACTTAGTAGGGATAATGCAGCTATCATAGATAGAGGTGAAGTTTCAGTGTTTCAGTTAAAGAATCAACAGCTGAAGGTGATTTTTTTCAGCTTGTTTTTTTTTCCATTTATAGGAAATATGTAGGTATTTATAGCAGATCTGCTGCTGCTGCACTCCAAACCTGCAGTAACGGAGGCACTTAGAGCTGTGATTTCTAATCTGTACACAAGGTCATCTTTTCATCTGTGTGAAGGAACTACTTGCAGTCAGGGGCTGACTGCAGTTTTTGTGAAAGAAGAGGCTGGTTATCTCCCATCCTGTGAAGTGGTGTTACCCCTTTTGTAGCCATTGTTCCGAATCTTAAGGTTGCTACTAAACTATAATTGTGCTCTAACATTACATAGTCTAGTAAAAATGTTCTCTAGATACATTAGAAACATTTCTTGTACCACACCTGCATGAATAGATGCCAGAAGATAACAAAAGTACTAGGAGCAAACTGAGTAAGGGAAGATTGTGGGCTTCTCTGGGTCAAGATCCATACAGGGATTCCAGTTGCTAATGAAATAGAAATCTGAAACCTGTTTTATCAACTATACAGTACCTCCTCACTTAAAACCTCCAGTTCTTTTCATAGATTCGGTTGAAGACCTTAATTTTTTTTTTCCAGAGGGTGTTTCTGTCCTGTAAAAAGTGCTTTTCATTGTTTTTATCATGTAGATAAAGTTGAGTTCTAAAACACTTTGTGATTAATTTACAACAATATTTGTATTAAATACACTTTTAGGAGTAACTGTTCTGTACCTTTTTGTTCTGCAAAACAATAAATTGTATTAATATACATTTAAAAATACTATGGATTCGGACTTGGATGCAGTTTAGCGTATTGAAATGCATATGTTTCTCTTGGACATTGAACAGTATTACATTTGATATGTAATGCCTATTAGACATCTACTGCTCAGTATTATGCCTTTTCCTTAAAATATTGTTTCAAATAAAAATATCCCACCTTTTGTCATTGCTGAGTTGCTGACCAAGATGAGTTTATTGCCGTTTTGCCCAGCTAAAATCTTCTTACCTCCCCTAAGGGATGAGTCATCTGTGGAATCAAGACCATATCCACAATTACTTCAGGAATTCCTTTTGTGAAAGTACCTCTATTTCTGCTGTGTAATTTTGTATCCACTTTCAGCCTGCAATTCTTCAAAATTGCAGCAATTACCTATGGGGAAAAATAAACCGAGCTGCACAGATTACGAAAGTTGTGAAGTGGACAGTGAGGCATGAGTCTCTAAAGCTGGGTTTTCACTTCATCTGTCTTGCCTTGCATGATCTGTTGAATGATACCAGCACTGGAGTAATTTTTATTTCGAAACATAAACCACCCAATAAAATCCTCCACATGTTCTCTATGGTATCCCACATTTTCTAGCTCAGTATTTCAAAGTACAACAGGTTTGCTTTTTAAATTATTTAAATGTTTTTGTAGGTATTCCTCAGATAGCAATGGTCCCTCAAGACAGGCATACAAATGGCAGGATGTTTTTCCTTTTTGCAATTGCCAAAGTACTGCTTTAAGGGATGCTGTAGGTTAATTACTACTAATTCAAGGTTTGTGTTTTAAAGTGCACAATTCCTAGTTTTTTTTAATTAAGTTTTACATTTGTAGTTCTTACAAATATGTGGTCACAGTTTGTACTGAGTATTTTATTACATTAATAAAAATCATTTGAACATGGATAATCCATTTTCTCATGGATTAACGGATTTCTCTCTTTTGCCGTTCTTACACCTTCCCTTGACAAAAACAAATAACGTGAAGGTCACCATTCATAACCTTTCATCTCCAAAGAGGACATTAAAAAAAAATGTATTTAGAGTGGGGCTGGTTACATATGCATCAGTTGTGAGACATTTGTTCATTGAAAGGAAATTGCTGATTTCCTAATTTCCTGTGATTTTTTTAACAGTCAGCATTTTCAAGCCATCTTGACTGATCTCCACTAAGTAACACTGATTCTTCCAAGTCTATTAAAAGTGGATGATTTATTTATTTTTTAATACTTCTATTGAAGCATCCTGAAGCATACATAAGGCATTTATAGTCAGTGGACATGGGTTTTTAAAAGGGCATTCAAATTGGCAGTTTGACAACTGGCATTAGCATTAGTAAAATGTCTTCTGTGTTATTGGAATGTGTATATGTTGTGTGCATTCGTGTAGATGATAGTGTAGCAAAAACGTATCAATCTGAATCACATTTCATGTTATTGCTGTTGCTTACTGTAAAACATAAATAGTGGTATGCACAAACCTATACAATATGAAATATGTTATATCCCTCTTATTGTCTTTGCTTGGTTTGCAGGCTGCTGATTTAAGTAAACCTATAGACAAAAGGATATACAAGGGAACACAACCCACCTGCCATGACTTCAACCACCTGACGGCTACTGCAGAGAGTGTGTCCCTGCTTGTGGGTTTCTCTGCAGGACAAGTGCAACTCATAGATCCCATCAAGAAAGAAACTAGCAAACTGTTTAATGAAGAAGTAAGTACTGAGCTAGTTGGAAGTTGAAAGACCAGAATGCTTGTGTGTTTAGTCATTTAGTTGAGTCCGACTGGAGAATGCCATACTGTACCTGTCTGTCAAGAATTAGAATGCTTATATGTTGCAAACTATAAAACATTTGTATTTGTATTTGGAAAGAAATAGTAGTATTGACTTATTTAGAAGCTTCCTGTTCTGGTCAATGTGTTATTGTCATATTCCTTACTAGATACTATATCCTTACTATATGCAAATAAACAGGGAATCCAAACCAAACACGTAGCCGCTCAGAAAACGAACATTTTTTTAAGTGTAATTTTATGCTGTAATCAAGGAAGTCCCTTTTTACGTAGCTGTGTCACATTTTGGGTGTTATGTGCTAAAATTCATAAGCCTTTAGAATGAGCAAGCTCTAGATACCATTTTATATTTATGAAAACTATGGATGGCTGTCCAGTTAGTCAACTCCTGTAAATTAATTCTCCATTTTGGCATATAGAAAATATTTTACCAGATACAACAGCTACTAATTTCCCAAATTACCTAGTCAGACTTGCAGCAGCCAATATTTTATAAAATGGACTTAGGGTTAGTAGAATTAAGTTCATAACTCTAAAACAGTTACAGTTACAAATGAGTAATATTCTTTTCACTTCAGTTTCGGCAATGTGTTCTAGAAATACTAAATGTCTAAGAAAATCCATCAAACACAGCCATCAAGTCTGGACACCCCCAAAATTATAATCCTGAAGGCTGTTGCAGATATGAATACTGAAACACAAAGTGACATGCTTGACTATTTGCAGAGAGCCATTTCCTTTCATCAGGCATATCATGCTGTTAATGATTCAGAGGTTATTGTGCAGTTTTTAATTTATAATTTTCCTAATTGTACTTCCGTGTAAAATTACTCAAGCAGTTCAGATTACTGAAGCTGGAAAGAAAAGAAAATAATCGTTATGTCACTGCAGTTGAATTTAATCATTGTAGTGACATTTCCATTAAAAATGCAATTAAGGAAGCACTTTCGGATGTATCTTTAATAACGCAACTTAACTTCTTTCTTTTCTCTTCCTTTTTTTTTCTGTTCCCGTTTCCCTCAGAGGCTAATAGACAAGTCTCGAGTCACTTGTGTAAAATGGGTGCCGGGCTCTGAGAGTCTTTTTCTTGTAGCTCATTCCAGCGGCAATATGTACTTGTATAATGTGGAACACACTTGCGGAACAACAGCTCCACACTACCAGCTGCTGAAACAGGGTGAAAACTACGCAGTCCACACTTGTAAGAGCAAATCCACGAGGAACCCTTTGTTGAAATGGACTGTTGGAGAGGGTGCGCTCAACGAGTTTGCTTTCTCCCCAGATGGGAAGTTCTTAGCTTGTGTGAGTCAAGATGGCTTCCTGCGAGTATTTAATTTTGACTCAGTGGAGCTGCACGGGACAATGAAAAGCTACTTTGGGGGTTTGCTGTGTGTTTGCTGGAGTCCGGATGGCAAGTACATTGTCACCGGTGGGGAGGATGACCTGGTAACTGTTTGGTCTTTTTTGGACTGCAGAGTAATAGCGAGAGGTCATGGACACAAATCTTGGGTGAGTGTAGTGGCTTTTGACCCTTACACTACTAGCGTGGAAGAAAGCGACCCCATGGAATTCAGTGGCAGTGATGAGGACTTCCAGGACCAAATCCACTTTGGCCGAGACCGGGCGAACAGCACGCAATCCAGACTATCCAAAAGGAATTCCACGGATAGCCGCCCGGTCAGCGTCACATACAGGTTTGGTTCCGTCGGACAGGACACGCAGTTGTGTTTATGGGACCTCACAGAAGACATCCTCTTCCCCCACCTCCCTCTGTCCCGGACGAGGACACATACAAACGTCATGAACGCCACCAGCCCGCCGCCTGCCGGCAGCGGGGGGAACAACCCGGGAAGCAATGGCAACAGCAGCATCAGCAGCACCCCGGGCAACTCCGTGCCCACCCAGCTGCCTCGGTCCAACAGCCTCCCGCACTCGGCGGCAGCCACCTCCAACAGCAAGAGCAGCGTCATGGACAGCGCCATCGCGGCCGGCGTCAGCAAGTTCGCGACGCTCTCGCTGCACGACCGCAAGGAGCGGCACCACGAGAAGGATCACAAAAGGAACCACAGTATGGGACACATAACCAGCAAAAGCAGCGATAAGCTGAACCTGGTCACGAAAACAAAAATGGACCCTGCAAAAACTCTGGGAACAAACCTTTGTCCTCGGATGGAAGATGTTCCCTTGTTAGAGCCTCTTATCTGTAAAAAGATAGCACATGAAAGACTCACTGTCTTGATATTTCTTGAGGACTGTATAGTAACTGCCTGTCAGGAGGGATTTATTTGCACTTGGGCGAGGCCTGGCAAAGTGGTAAGTTTCTGATTTTGAATTTTGATTTTGAGTCCTCATTTCTGTCCTGTTTTTTCTAAACTATTAGAACTCCATAGTTTTACTTTCAAACACTTTAGACAAGTCGAATTATTTTAGATAAGCTATAGTTCTCTCTTTTTGAAGTTATTTTATCATCTATTGATTAATTGTTTTTCTTGATGGAAGCCCGGATATCGCCTTCCTTAACATGGCTGGCTGGCGTATTAACATTCAAAGATTGCCTGTTTAAGAGATTGAGATTGACATCTTTAAGTTATTGAGGCATCTAGCTCAGTAAAATCTGGGCTGAACAGTATTTTAAGTTTAGTCCTAAATTGTCTAAATGACTTCATTTAAAAAATCACCTGTGGTTTTGACCACAATTAAATTGTTTCTTATGTTTAGAAACTGGTAATATTAATGGTGACCTACGAAACCTGCTGGATTGGGGTTCTCCAAGACCAGGGCTGGGTTTATACATCCTACAATGTCACTTTTTGGTGACAGGTTTACAGTCAGTCATTGCTCTGGATTACATGAGAGTTTTATTATAAAGCAGGCTTAACTCCACCCTCATCTGAGCTAGCAGTGACTAGCGCTCCGCTATTCTCGCGTGTCGATCCTGAAGCATGTAGGCTATCCTCTGAGGCCACAGCTGCCATCAGTCTGTCTCGGCAGCAGTGGCTGGTTACCTAAGAAATGCGTAGGAGAGACATCGCCAAATAAAAAATGGGAACTGGAAATAGTGATTGAACAATATGGTCTGTGTGTGGAATGTACTTACCATATAGGCGATGGCTGCAGGTTTGAAATGGATGGAATAGCGAAAGGACCATCCTTTTTAACTGGTTCCATATTTTTCTTTTCAGGGTTTATTGTCATCCCAAAACCAAGCCAACTCTCCCAGCGGGACTGTAGTATAGCCATCATGATTCTGCTGCTAAGAAACCTTCGTCACACAGACGTATTGACGCCAGAGCCGGGCGCTGTTCTTCACCCGCACAGCATTGCAAGTTTTTTTTTCTTTTCTGAAATGGCCTAGCGCGGCTTAGCAGCCAACAAGCACGAATGAAAGGGTGAGGTGCAATTCTGGACGAAGGGTAAAAATCGTCCTGGAAACTCGAAGAAACAAACAGGATTTTTTTTTTCTGTCATTCCCTTCACCCCCTCCCTCCCAACCCTTCCCCTTCCTCACACACACACACACCCTTCCCGTCTGTGTTTTTTACCTTCATCTTTCACTGGAGTTGCAGGGCAGAGCTTGAGAAAATTGGAAGCAAAGTGATCTGCCATTTTCTCAACTGGGTGTTTCTATTATCTCTAAATGTGTAGCTTTATCACATATATATTATAAAGAGAGAAAGAAACGGAAGAAAAGTGAAGAACTGCTTCCCCCTCAGAAAATCCTGTAAGTTAAATGGTTTTTGTTTAGTCTCACCATTGAATACTTTGCACTGATTTTTTTTGTTTTATTTTATAACTATAATGGAACAAAGAATTCCTTGAAGACAGCCTGGATGCACTTGGGATATGGCAGGTCATTATCTTCTGACTTGGAATTTTGAATCGGAAAGCTGGATGCTGCAATCATAGTTTTTTTTTAAAAAGAAAAAAGAAGATTTGTTTGCACTTAATAGTTTGTTAGAAGAGAATGGCTTTACATTGTGGGGTGTGCAAGGACTCCCAGACAGCTATAAGGTGGAGAAAATATTAAAAAATTAAAACCTTTGTATCTATTGAGCATTTATTTTAATATTGTTTCAAATTACAATCGGCTCTGTATTATATGTATAAATATTGTAATTCAGTGATTGATGGGGCAGAAATTGATCATTACACTAGTGGAAGTTCATCTTCATTAAAGCAAAATAGTGATATTTCTAATGCAGAAAAATTATACATATTAATAATATTAAAACAATCTTGAATATGCAGGTTTTTGTTTTCTTTTCTGTTGTACAAAAGATCATTCAGATGTATTTTTCTTAATTAAATGTTTGGTATAGGAAGAACTCTTTGTATCAAATACTCTTATCTCCAAGATAAAGCTGAATTGCTTACTTGTTACAGATTTACAATATGTACAGAATAGTTGGATGGAGTAACAGTCAAACTCAGCAATTATTTGAAGCTCAGGAAGTCTGCAGACTAAAACACTGAAATAAACATTTTGCTTAACATCAGCAGTGCTATTCTATGTAAAACTAAGTAGCAGCCACTATGAGCAGCAGCTAAGTTCAGGGTTCATAAGCAGGGCCTTTCCGTGTGACATTATTAAAACAGTTTTAATGTACTCTTGTGATTTCCAATCTTTCATGTCAATGGCAAAGTTGATTTACTGCACACTACAAGGGGCAAGCCCAGTGAAGTGGTTGTACCACTTACATTTCACGTTTTTCATTAAACAGATATGGTTTACACAGAGCCTGGTGCTTGTACAGTTACTTGCTTCAGTTGTTTGTCTGCAATTATAACTGACAGCAGTGCATATTTAACATAACTGCACAAGATATATCCCAAATTTCCGTCAAGTTAAATATGAATAAATAAGCATTTTTAGTTGTATTATAAAGTACTGTACGCTAATGCGGGTTATACATTTGTATACCTGATGTGCCCTTCAACACTCAGTTATGAATTTATTATGCTGGATATTTATATTACAGATGTTGCTACTATGCAAGTGCCACAGTTCTTACACCAGTAATAACCTAGGTAGGTGTAGGTGTTTAATACTACAAATCGCAAAATTCACTCCTGCTGTTTTGTTGCAATATGTATTAAGCAAGTACTCAGCTAATGTTCTTCCCTTCTAAACTTTTAAGCATTTAAAAAGTTATGTTTTTCTTGGCCATATTTTTCTATCCAAACATGAAATTTCTCAAAATAGCTCCTGCTGTTCAGGTTTTATCATTGACAGTGTGATCTTTCCATCCCTCGAAGAATGTGTTCTAATGTGAACATAGAGGTGCTCCACAGTACATTCACTTGTCTGTATACGACGTAAGATGTGACAGTGCCAGCCATCGCTCACTGATTACACTGAACAAAGTGGTCTGAAGGCTTTTCACTTCTAAACTATTTACTAAAAGGCACTTTCAGGCAGACGTCTCAGAATAACTTCTTTTAAAGTACAGAAATTTAATTTACTCTGTTCATAAGCACTTACAAACCACGATACAGCTACTCCTTGTGCTTATAGGGCTTACGATGAAAGGACAAGAATGTTCTCCAATAATGTTGTAAATTGGTTTAATTAACACTAGTCTAATTGTCATACAATAAAAGATACACCTATGTTAAGTGTATATATATAAATATATAAAAAAATTCAATTAAATTAATTGGATTTTCTCATTTCAAATGAAGAAAATACTCTGGTTTAGACGTTTTTTGTGTTCTTTCTTTCATTACTGTTAAAGTTAGCACAAGGAAAATGTAATATATAGGTTGTATTTCTTGCAATACGACCTTGGACTTGCTGTTGTTTTTTTGTTGTACTTTCCCAAGCTTCGTACATTGCTACAGCTCATCAACTGCAAGCTTGTGTGTCTGGATGATGTAATGCATTAGACATCTTTTTCAAGGAAGTAATAGATTTACATAACTGTAAAAACACTTACATGTTAAAACCAGAATATGTTAAAGTCATGCCTATTTAACTGGAAACACTGGATACATAAAATGTTCAGTTTTTAAAGTGGCATTTTGTCTTTGAAAGTAACTGCTTTCCAATTTACCTGAAAAGTAAAGGTTAAAAAATGAAAAGACTACAGCATTTTCAGAATGAATGTATTATGTATATTAAAATAACATCTGTACATAATTGCTCCAACACTGCAATCATACAAAATATTTTATAAACAGTTTGGAGAGAAAAACTAGATACAAAAGTGTGCAGAATAGGCAAGAGAAACCATATACTGGGTTTTTTATGTATATGGTAGGATGCAAATTTATTAGAACACCTCAGTATACACACATCTGTTTATCTTTTCAAATAAAAATGAATATTTTTTTAGAAACGGCTTAGATTTTTAAGGTGTATGTACCATTTATGGCTGTATTATTAGATTATTTGAAGTGGTAGCACATTAAAGGCATTGATTAAAGAATTCTTCTCTACTTTATTTTAACTTTAAGGTATAATGATTTGTGTACATGAAATGCTCTAATAAATTTGCATTAAATACATTATATACATCTCACATCCATATAGCCCGTTCTTTGATGTAAAAATATACATAATAGAATTAAACTACAAAAAACAAAGTAGTCATTTTAGATGTTATAGTTTTGTTTAAATTATGTACATAATTTACTTCTTGTTGCTGCTTAATGCAGAGGTCAGAGCAGGTGAGCCTGGTCAGTATCTGGATAGGACACCCCCTGGGAAAAACTAAGGTTGCTGCTGGAAGAGGTGCTAGTGGGGCCAGCAGGGGGCGCTCAGCCTGCGGTCCATGTGGGTACTAATGCCCCAATATAGTTGATGGGGACACTATACTGTAAACAGGTGCCGTCCTTCGGATGAGATGTAAAACCGAGGTCCTGACTCTCTGTGGTCATTAAAAATCCCAGGGCGGGCGTTTCTCGAAAAGAGTAGGGGTGTAACCCCGGCGTCCTGGCCAAATTTCCCATTGGCCCTTACCAATCATGGCCTCCTAATAATCCCCATCTATGAATTGGCTTTATTACTCTGCTCTCCTCCCCACTGATGTGTGGTGAGCGTTCTGGTGCACTATGGCTGCCGTCGCATCATCCAGGTGGATGCTGCACATTGGTGGTGGTGGAGGGGAGACCCCATTACCTGTAAAGCGCTTTGAGTGTAGTGTCCAGAAAAAGCGCTATATAAGTGTAAGCAATTATTATTATTATTATGTTAGGCCTGGCATTCTCCTGGCATGATGGTGTCTATGCTGATGTGTGGCCTTGTGCTTAAGGCATGACAAGAGATTACTAGAAAAACCTGTAATGTAGAAAATGACATTAGAATGTCAGGCTAATGATAAATGCACAACATGATTGAAATATAGAACAAAATGCAGTAGATGCATAATTCACATAGGTAAGCACAATTAACACAAAACAAAAGCATAAACATGCTCCGTGGACAACAAACATACAATTTGAAAAACTACCTGAAAACCTACTAGGAAAAAAAATGCTGTATTATTTTTCTTTACATTTATGTGCCATATTAATCAGTTTTTATCCGACTGTTTTATTGAAAGCGCTTTACGAAGACTGAGCAAGCACAGTATGCAAAGCATACTTTTCTTTAAAGTTATGCATTTACTCTGTTTTAAAGCATCCGAGAGGAATGCACTCTGATATGTAATTTACTAGAAGTATGACAACCACATTCATTTGTGTGTTTTATGCATAATACAATATTAAGACATTCTCATCGAGTTTTAGATTGTCCAGTGCCACTTCTAAATTGTTTCAATCTTTTAATCTTTCATTTAGTTGTATTCTAAATTACAGAATGTTTCTTTTTTCAGGGGGAAATAATTTTGATAAAACTCCTTCCATGAATATTTCAAGAAAACAGTAGAATGTCAACATTTGGTTATTGTGATTTCAAGAGCTTTTTGATCACTTCAGTTCTGTTCTTTGTCAGAGTCTTAATTCTTTTATTGTAAATTTAAAATAGCTCAAGAATCACAAAAAAATCAAGGGCTAAAGCCCATCCTTCTAGAGGACAGGAAAACGTGGCGAGGAGTTGGTGGGCACCCACTCCTTGACAATTTGGTGAAGAGGAGCTCTTTGGCATGCGATCTTCAGTAGCCTCCACCTTTCCTTTCCAGAGGTGGGATGTGATAACTCTTGAAGGGCTGGTGATGTGGCTCATTCCTGGGCTTTAAGAAGGAGAAAACAAATGCAATTTATAATAAAGTGATCTCAGTGAACTTTATATATAAACATAACTTCATATAACTGACATGCATTAATGTGTGACTTAACAAATACCCATTCCTTTGCAGAAATGGGTATTTGTCATTAATTGTTTCAGTGGTAATTTGAAAAAGCCATATACAGGGATATGTTGATAAATGCACTGTCAGAATTCAACATCTTTATTTCAACTGCAGTCAATTATAAATTTGTTCTGCATGTTAGAAATGAGCTATCCATAACCAAACATTTCATGTATCAATGGAATTCCTCCAAAGTTTCCCACACTGGTAAGCAAGGATTACTTTATATTGCATGTCATATGCACATATTTTACGAATGAAATAATGCTTTTATTAAGCAATCAAGTGTAAGGTATAATTATTTAATTGGTTAATATAATGACAATAATGTATTGAATATTTTGTTACAAGTTTTATATCTGATCTACAAGAAAAGAGAAAAAACGTAATCCTGATCTTTTAATAATTTTAAACCACAATAATGCATGTTTCCACCAATTAATGAGCACATTCTGGTGCAAGTATGTTGATGTAATAATTCCTTGCATACATACATCATTTTTTAACTTGAAGGATCCCAAAACCAACTGCTGTACTGCCACAGTGAGACACTGTCCCTCCAATTGGAAAAAACAAGGAACTTTATGGAGGCCAGACTGCACAAGCCAAGTGGAATTTAGCCTATATACTGGAGTCAAAACCCCTACTCTAATGGCCATTGCCAATATGAAGTCAGGACCGCAGGAATGGCACCTCCTGCAACAGCGTTTCCCCAGTAAACATACTGGGGAATATTGAAATATTGGTTTGGTAATTGTTGTCCAGAGAGAAGACTGCCACCTGCTGGACTGCCAACATCACTCACATCAGCAAGCTCATTTTCCTTAGAGGTCTTCCATCCCAGTACTGACTAAGCCGTGCCCTGCCTAGCTTCTGTGATCCGATGACATCAGGCTAGAATGTGTTAAAGCTTATTCATGTGATGTCTACCTTCGTTGGTTTCCCGTGGTATTTGGTTGATTTCAGTGCTGGGAGAGACCCATTGTGTGCCATTAAAGAAGGCAGAGAGGTGATGGGATATGAAGCTATTTTGGGTGCTGGTACAACCACATTCAGCTTTGGCAATTCAATTGGGTAAGAAGGACCATTCCGTCTCATCAGGGAGTCTGGAACGTGCTTGATGTTTTGCTAGAAAACAAAGGTTATGTTACAATTTAATGTTTTGAGTCCTTGAAGAGAAAGAATCCCATCTGTCAATACAGAACAATACCAGTTTTGTACTATAAGGCATCATTTAATACAGGTAAGTATTATTGTCTCTTTAAGTGTTTATCATTGTGAATCACTGTTCTATACATATACACAAACTATATGCAATTGTATGAAATTTACAAAATGTTCCTTATAGAGAGATACTGTCCTATGGTATTTGTTCTGGACAGCAAATTATCACTTTCGTTAGGCCAGACTCAATTAAAATAAACTAAAGTAATTTAACCCAACTTTCAATCTATACTAGTGCCTAAAACATGCCTATATCCATCTTCTTACAAATGAGTATGGCACTATTTAATATGTAAAATGTCCTTTACTTCACTTTGTTTTATTTTTATGTGAATCAGAATTAGTACCTTTTATTACTTTTTACTAATCATTTTTGTATTTTTTTTGTTTTATAGATTGCAGAGACATTTGTCTATTACAGTAGTTTTTACATTTCAGTGAAACTTCTTCCCTCTTCAAACTGAAAAGCATGAAGTTTTAAAGGTCAGCATCAGAGGACGCTTCTGGTTTGCCTTACTTGTCTTCTCCCTTGTTTTGCAATGCGCCAGAGATTGTCGATTGAGTTAGGGGTCCCATTGTTTTCTCCTCCTTCCACTGTTCCAATTACCCTTCTCAGGGTGCTAGCCTGCTTCTCTGCCACACTGCACAGAACACAACTAAAACTGTTAGGACACCACGCAGGGGCATCTTTTGCCTAATGATTGAAGACTTGGATGAAATATCATTATCACGTATAAACTGCCTTGAAAAGAAAGTGTTTTAAAAAAGCAAAAAATTAAAAAGGAATAGTGGTTTAATCATGAATATTGCAGTCTTCATTGACAGTGGTACCAAAATGCACTGCAATGGTTAAAGGGCAGACCCAAGTATGTTTGCCATCGCAATTTGTGCTTTGGAATTCAGAAGGCCCCTTCTGCTGCCTCCAGAATGCAACTTGGCACAGTCATATAAAGCCCTACCCTAATGGGCCTTTCAGTTGAAAACTTGCCTACTTCAGACATATGTTTCAAGCATCTGAGATTCCAGAGGCCAGATCTTTACATGGGCTCTCCTGCTAGCTAACAACTGAAATTGGAAGCTGAATAATCATAGCATTTTAAGCGATTGCCAATGCGGACCTGAATTCTTTATTTAGATTTTGCTCGTCCTTAATCACTTGATTTTATTTTCCATTTTTCTCCATTCATTGACAAAAATAAAGAGTAAGTACTGGATGGTGCGTCTCTATCGTTGCTTGCACTGGTGTATTAATGTGAGGGGACAGACTCACCGGAGTTCCTTGAAGTAGGGGTGCTGCAAGGCAGCCTTGGAGCTGATCCTCTCATTGGGGTCATACTCCAGCATCTCGTACATCAGGGACAGGCCGCCTGATGAGCACTGTGGGATCAGGTGAGAGATACCACTCCCTTTCTTGGGAGGAAAGTCAAAACGCATGGCTCTGGATCTGTTGAGCAGTTTTTAAAAACAAAATTCTAGAGAGGCACGTCTTAGACCTTAGCTGACGACTGGAGCCTGCTTTTCTGCACTGGATCAGATTTTTTTAGGCTGATATTTTCACAAGTAGTCCTTAGATGTAAACTGGTGTGAATTCCTGGAGGCATTGTGCAGAAAATCCAAAATGAATACAATCTCTGGAGAATGTGAAATATAATTTAATGTCATGTAACATTTTCAGTGCACCCTTGCACAGTTTGATAGTTTGTTTTTGGATTTTATTTGCTTTAATTTATAAATAAAAAGTTGTATATGTTATATATCTTCCTCTCAGATATTAGGCATTTCAAATGACTAAGCATAAAAAAGGTGAATTTTTTCCATGGGCAAAAAGGATCCAGATATACAGAACAGCTGAAAGTAGGATGATGCTTTTTCAACACTGTAAACATTACAGCACTGCAAATTGAACTTACTGCTTAAACTTCTGAAGAATTTCATCATCAGGGGTTCCCAGAACGTCATGGATTTTGGAAACCTGATCCAGCTCATTGGAGCCAGGGAAGAGAGGATTGAGGCTACCACAGAAAAACAAAAGCATGTTTAATTACCGCCATTTAATTAATGTGGCAAAACATGAATTTAGTTTCTGAAACTGTTGAAGATTTATTTCCATAACACAAGTTTTCAGTACATCCCGCACATTTTTATGGAGACCTTGACTGCGGCCTATTGTACTTAAAGACTCCCCTTTGACCATTTTCCAAATGATGAGCCACAGAATTCTGAAAGATTCCAATTGTGAATGATTGCAACTAACTTACATACTGTAAAACAAAGTCTGACAAACAGAAGTCATCTCCTCTCATAAACTGTATTTGGTGTGAAGAAGTTCCCCACTAGGCCTCATTGGGTGTCAGCTACAAAAGAAGCAGCCATGGTACTGGAACAGCTTTAGTCAGAAACATATTTGTTTCAGTGCCCAGTGAGGTGGCTATGCTTTTGCTTCATTGCCTAGTTTCAAACACTTGAGGTTTTATTTTTAAAAGATGTCCGTATGTACATCCACAGAAAGTGATTAGAACTGTGAAACAAAATAGAGGGTAGATTAATTGCTTTTTTTTTGCAAATGATAAATCAGTTTTATTTTGGTTTACTATGCACTCGCACAATGAATGGCACATATTCAACTTAAATGTACGGGTTATGTGCCTGTTTAGGTCTGGTTAAAACATCTCTAAAAAACAGGCTAAATGACTCTGTGTGTGGTTACCTCATAATTTCAAAGAACACGCATCCGGCACTCCAGATGTCCATCTTGTGGGAGTAGTAGCCGTCTGTGAGCAGGCACTCTGGAGCCCGATACCAGCGAGTGGAGATGTACTCGGTATAGGGAGGTTTGGAGTAAACGCTCCTGCAGGAGCCGAAATCTGCCAGCTTCAGGACATCTTTCTGCCATGGTCAATTTAAAGGTTTGGAGGAGTATGCATCAGTGATAAGGAGGTTTAGAAGTCGCATTTATACTACAAGCACAGACATTTTCACAGCTGAAGATTTGTGTAGCTTTGTTTAGTTCAATATATTTTTCTCTTCAATTTATTCTGGTATGTTCGTTAACATTTTGTTTTCAAATGCTCATGCAACTGGAGTGGAAGTCCTTACTAACTAATATGATTTCCTGTCCAGTTTGTATGCTTCATTGCTGCATCTACTCACTAGAGTGATAAGGCATGCATTTTCTGCCATTAGGGATGATGGATCTTCACAGGAATCCAGTATGATAACCCTACTGTTGCTTTAAGTTAGCACATCTGGGTACTTTCTGTTCATGGTCCACAAGTTCCTATTCCTTTTTTGTTTTGCAAAGCAAAATATATTAAAGCAACAACTACCGGTTCACATCCTTAGACTAAATTATTACATCTTGTCCACCTTACCCTGATTAAAATATTTTCTGGCTTGACGTCTCGGTGAAAGATTCCGTTTCTGTAACAAGATAAGGCAAAGTTTTCACAGTACGGAAGAACACACTCACACCTTTGTGTACTAAAGCAAAAGCAAGTACAGATTTGTTTTCCTGTAGGTCAGTGATAGCTCTGAAACTGAAGACGCCTGACACTTTACATAGTTCAAGACTGTGAGTGCTGGAGATTTTATTGTTCTGCATTTTTATTATTCAAAGTCTCCTTAATGTAAATATGTGCCACTTGCTTCTTTATTTATAAAGCTGACCTGGAAACATTCTATGTGGGTGACTCGTTCCCACTGGAATCCCTAACAGCGCTGAATTTAGGAGCTAAAACTTTGTACCATGGAGACAAAACCGACAACTTAAACAATTTAATTTCGGGAATGTGAAAAAAGGAACGTAAAGGTTTTGCACCAGTGCAGATTCAAGTGTATTGTTTTACTTTGTTTTCACCATATTAGAGAAGATAGGTCACTGATCCATACAGGAAGGAAAATCTGTTTTTACATAATTTTGACAACCATTCCTCTTAACAGTGCTCTCTGCCTTTCTACATAAATCTGGATGAGATTATATTATGTGCAACCAATGTTATGGAAAGTGTATATCTGATGATTTACTGCTGACTCTTAAAAGGAGAATTACAAGTGTAAGAACTTGGTTATAGGACAAACAACAATGCAGAAAAGAGAAATGTCTTGGCAAACAAAGTACATGAATCACAGGCTTAATTTGGGATTGGGAGAAGAGTTATATTTTATATCCAAAGATAGAAAACATATTAATTTAAACATTACAAATGAAAAAAACAGACCTGCTGCTTATCCTTTCAGTTAAAAAGAACTTCACCCCAAATTTTTTTCCAGGCTTCATCCGTAATTTCTTTCCCCTAAAATGATCCGACAGCAGCTTTTACCTGTGCATGTGATCCAGGGACTTACACAGCTGGTATATGTAATTCCTTGCTTTAATTTCTGGCAGGGGATGTCGTCTGCCTGAAAACACAATCACAAACTTCCAACAGAAACATAAAAAATGAATGCAGTACAAAGAGCAGCATGCTACATGCATTAACAATCCTTAATTCGTGTTTTATTTTCCATCCATGGGTCTGTGAAACACAATTTCCTGTTATTTAGCTACGGTATATACTGACCAGTTTTAATAATGCGTCACATTGCTGAGATTGATTAGGCTACGACTTTGTCACAGATGGATGTCACGGTCTAAAGATAATTTAAGTTAAAGACAGAAATGAATAGTGACATTTTCTAAGGAGTTCTCTTAAAAGATAAGGGAGTAGGCATCAGTAGTGTGCATCATGCTGATTAAAGGAAATAAAGGCCATACAGAAGTGCCTCATCCACTGAATCTGTCTCTAGAGAAATGCCAGAAGTATTTTGTTCTATAACTAGATAAGAGCTTCTAGCACCTACGGAAGATTCTGTAGTGGCAATTGTTGTAACAGTTACCAAAGCAGTTTGTTATAATTGTCTTAAACAGACGAAGTGGTGGAAGACAAAGCCAGCCAGGAATGCATTAGAATGTTGTAAAATTGCAGGTGTGGTTAGCATGCTAACAACTAAACAGCTCCTTTTTTCATTTATGCAATTTGCTGAAATAACCCTACTCAGAGTTATCCATATTATTACCCCTTTTGAACAGTTTTATATCAGTTGTTTACGTCAGTCTTTATAGTTCACTTTATTAAAGATGCATAGCTTATTGCCAATATTTTATTTCTAGAAGCCTTGGATTTGTAAATCCGATGCACACTGGGGTACTGGTACAGTCATGTAGGAAACATCTCCAATTACAGTGAAAAAATATCCCTTTTTTGCTAACTTTCTTCTCGTACCTTACCCATCTATTCTGTAATAGAGATGCTTGGCCCAACAGCCTTGCAGGTGAATCTGTCTCAACAGGTTTTTATTGTGAGATCTTATTTTGTCTCTCTCTAGTTGGACAAGCACAGCTTAGATTTTATAGCTCTTTTTATGCAATAGAACTACCTTATATGCCTAAAGTGACAGTCAAAAGAAGTCACCATATGAGGAGTATCTGCTTCACATAAATGGAGATAGCTTAGTATATCTTCCCACTCAAGGGAGTACTATTGCAATAAAAACATGTAGGTTTTAGGTTTTTTATGCACAAGAAAATGAAATTATTAAAAGGTTATGTCTGTTCTAATATATAACATTTCTCTTTAAGAGTGAAAAAACAGAGTATGTGGGATTTAAAGTATTGTTCTTGGATGTATTAGCAAGACTTGCCTCTTGCTAATTGCCATCTTATGGATGAACTGTTTGAGCCAAGAACTTTCTGAAAAGTTTCACATCCAAATGTAGTTTCATTGGTTAATAACAGCTATTCGTTATATCTGATATAACTGCTAAAGCCATCTCTAAATCCCTCATCTAGTTTTTGAAGCAGGAGGCATGTCATGATGAAACGAAATCTGTAATCAGTACCCTTCGTAAAACTACATTATGAGTCAGTTAATGCTTTTTCCGCTAATAAGGCTGATAGGAAGTGAAGTGTTCTTTCAAATGTAAAATATCCTCCTTTTTCAATCTTACTGGATTCCCAGCTTCTTTTTTTTAAATGCATTGTAAATGAGTTTTCGTTCTGATTTTTCCTATTAACTTGACCTCTACTAACTTACACTTTATATAAGCACAAACTTCATGTCTGAGGTATTGTTGCTTTTTAATAAGGTATCGTAGGTGCATTCCAAGCCATTACAGATCTTTATTAATGCAGTGAGAACTGCATATACTGCACCAGCTGTAAAAATGCCTTGATGTAAAGTGTTCACCTTAAATAAAGCCTTCCAGAGAAGAGAGCGAATAAGGCCGGTTTTACTTCAGTGCTTGTTTAAAGTCAGACTTGGCTGTAACAGGATGAGTGAAAATGCGACGTTGGTTGATGAAAAGGAGTAAACAATCCCATCTTATTATAGTCAGACTTTTTTACAGCATCTTACAAGCATTCATACAGTATAGTGTTGAGGACCGAACCATGTACTGAGGTGAAAGGCAACAGTGCAACAGCTGCTGAGACTGACCTCGGATTAACTCATAGATGTTCATGTCCATGAGTTCACATATTAGAGAAAGGGAGCCTGTCTTCTTATCGCTAAAAAAAAGAGATGCAAAAGGGTAAAATCACTCTGTGAATTCACAAATGGATGTTTAACTGCAAACATCAAAATATGCACAGGGCCAGGCACAATGTTTTATAAGCAGGGTTACCAGGATGATATTTGTTTTAATGAAATGATAATTTCTTAGATTGGATGCCAAATTATTATTGTAATACAGTCAATAAGCTCTTAAATTACATACCGTATAGCTAACCTGGTGCGTATGCAGATTCTGTTTAACACAAAAAGATATGTCATGTTCTTCAAGCTTTCAGATAGGATCAAATAGCTGTCAGGGACCAAAATTAAAATATCTCAGCACGAAACCGAACTTCTCTACTTCTAATTTTTGTAACACTAATCAATATTTTGCACTAACGCTACAGTGGCACAGTATTTAGTATCGCTGCCTCTCAGTATTGGGGTCCTGAGGTTCAATTCCTGGTGTACTAGCTGCATGAAGTTTGTGAGGGTTTTCTCTGTGTACTCTAGATTCCTCCCACAGTTCAAAGACCTACTGGTAGGTTCATTAGCTTCTGGGAAATTGGACCCCAGTGTGGCTGTGTGTGGTGGACAGGTGTTCTGCCCAGGGTGTACCCCATTTTGTGTCTGTTGCTTGCTGGGATAGGCTCCAGCTCCCCCGGGGTACTTCTTTGGATGAAGCAGTTAGATAATGGATGGATGGCAACTTACTAAATGATCTCGTGCAGCTGAAGGATGTTGGGGTGTGGGCTGAGCCTCTTCATTGCTTGTACTTCACGTAGGTTGTTTGCTTGCTCCAGGCTGATCGACATGGAATGAATTCAAAACTGTACTGACCGAACCATGATCAACCCATATTTAATGTGTTGCAATTTTGATGTAACAAATGCAAATAAACTGAATTTACTTATTGTATTGATCCTCACTGATTGCCTTTAATCCTAGTATTCCAGTATGGCTTCTTAAGCATCTCTTTATAAAGAAAAATAAGCAGCACTACATTTAATGCCCAAGTGAAACAATGGCATTTGTTTGAAACATTTAATAAACTGCTTTTAGTAGCAAACATATAAAACTATACTATAAAGAAAAACGGAAACAAATATAATATGTAAATATCATAACATTTGTATAGATATTTTGTAAAGATGGATGGAGTCAGATGAAGGCTGAAATATGTCCCGTGGGGACTAAGTAATTTGAGTATCTTTTTCTTCTCAAAAAGAAAATCTCATCCCATCAAAGCTGCATCCTATTTGTCAACAGCACGCCTTCCAGGGCCGGTGGTGACAGCTCGTGTCTAGAAGCTGACCCCTGAGCACAAGGTCAACAGCAGGGAGTGATGTCATGCCTGTCAGTGCAGGACACCTCTGTCGGAAGTGCCGCCCGGCTTGGGTTACAGGTGTATACACACCGAGTTGTCACGACACAGCCTTGCTCCACCAAAGCGAAAAGGGGATTTCAAATACATTTATTTTATAAACCACTGTTTCCAACACTTACCTTTCCACGGGCTGTTTCATGGTTTTGCAAGCATAGTAATTCCCATCTTTAAGGTTTTGCGTTTTGACCACCTCAGAAAACGTCCCTTCACCTAATTTGTGTATTATTTTGTATTCTAAACAAGTGGGGGGGAAAAAGCAGAAACTGGCTAAACATCAAAGAAATAAAACAGGAAAAAGTAGCTTATGTTATCGAACGTAAACTACTGAAATCAACACATGGGTAGCGCTCATAAAACATGTACGAGGAAAAGAACTAGTTTATGCACAGGGACATTTGTAAATACACGTATCGTTTATCTCAAGTTGTTTAAACAGGTGAAATGTATTTAAAGTAAAAGTAAAGTAAAAGTAAAGAACAAAGCCTTAGAGCGTTTTATACTAAAGAGTTATTACCTCTCCCAACGCGCTCAAGAAACTTACTGTCCATTCTTCAGTTTTTTCGACAAAAGCGCGGTGTAAACGTAGATGCTGGTCCATAGCATGCAGAATGAACCTATTCATCATGTTAACATTGCAGATCGGGATTTACATTAAATTTAGGATTTTATTTTTGCAACACTCTGCTGAAACACTCGCCATGTTATAATCATCTCCCTGGCAACGGTGCACGCCTCAACTTTGACCTCTCCGACGGATCACAAAGGCAGTAACCTTATCCCTACTCTCCTGTAAACGATAACGGGCTAACAGCTGTTCACACACGTTTAGGATGTGAGGGACAGATATGTTTAGTTTTGAGATTACGTTCTATGCATTTCTATGACTCGAAATGATTTCATTTAATTTAATAACGTTTGAAATTTCTCCAGTGACAATATAGGAAATAATCACCCTACGACGAGAGAAACGCTTTGCTACTCTACAGCATATATACAGACACCAATATTATTAAGTACATCTAACATGTTACAGTAATCATTCTTTAAAAACAAACTAGAAAACCATGTAAATGTAGTCCATACGTAATAAAACATGCATTTATTTTGTCACAGTCTGAGTTGTAAATCGTAATTCTGAACAGTGAATCGAGTTTTGTTTTTGTTTTACATGAGAAATAGGATTTCCAATACATAAACTACTGAGGACTGTAAATTCGTGATAAGCAAGAGTTGCATTGCTTAATAAAACAATCTGAAAAGTATTCTATAGATTTCAGAACATTTAAAAAGTACCTATAACTGTAGATCTTTGCTGAGAATAATTCAAAAAGGTGAAGTTTAACTTCTCAAGTAATGAGTTTGTTATATGTATCTATCTGCTTAAATTAAAATTTAAAGACGGGATTTAAAGTTTAAGACCATCGGAACCATTGTAGAGGACGAGGAAATTCGGATGAAATCGTTTTCTCACCTCTGTTTCTGAGTATAGAGGTCAGATTAGACCCCGTTGACCTCTTCAGATTATACCCTCGTTTATCAGTCAATTGTCCATACTTCATCAAATCCGACACGTTTGCCATTGTATTTATGTTCTCGCACCGGAAACTGGAAATGCAACAATTATTTATTGTATTCCATATTGAATCAAAATCCCATGTTGCTTCCCCACCTAAAATAATTATGTAGACGAATTGGAAATGGAGACTCGGTTTGGATAAGGTGTTGTAGTTTTGCTATGTATAACGAATACTAACAGGAAAATATAAGAAAGCTGACAGACTTTTCCTCAGCATACAAAACAAGTAAACACGCCCTTGGGCACTAGGCAGCGAGGTGAAACGTCACTATATCCGAAAACGAAGCTCCTGCAATAAATTACATGGGGGATTGGTCTGTGAGCTGTACTGGTTTTTACAACTAGATTGTGACAAATATTTTAGGCGTTTCAAGCTATTCAGAAAGAAAAGCGTTCTTTATATTACAACATAACAATGACAGGTTTCAGCCTTTATCTAGGTATCTTTCCAACCCGCTTTTTCTCCGCGACCAGAGTACAGTGTACCCTGATTTTTTTTCCCAGCAGGATCAACGAGTATTTGCACCCCCTATCGTTTTTTCTCAGCAATGACACTTGCTAAGAGGAGCTGTTGGATGCTTCAGCCGGCATGAGGTGTCTTTTGTCCCAATTTTCTCGGGGAAAAATGTGTTATTCCTTGTGTTTAGAGGAATAGCTATTTATGCTATTTACATATATAATTGTTTCAAGGCAATAGCCTACGTTGGTATTATTTGTAACAGCAGCTAGCAAGAAAAAAAAGATATTTTTGCCTTGGTTAGAGAAAAGAATAGTAAAAGACTGGGTCCCACTGTATTGCACAGGCTGAACTACAGAGGCTATTCACAGGCGCGACCCCACTACTGCCCAGCACGGGGGCTTTGGCCTGCTCCGTTTCCGACCTGGGCCGGTTCACCCCTCCTTAGGCGACCTGGTGGTCCCGGGCTCCCCCAGGAGCACCATATCGATACCGAGCTTAGTGTGGACACCCGATCGCCATAGCCCACCGCAGCTCAGAGCTCCTGAGCTCAAGCGATCCGCCAGCCTCAGCCTCCCCGTAGCTTGGATTACAGGCGCGCGCCACCGCACCCGGCTGCTGAGGGATGCGAATTTAGCTCTGATCAGGCTTGCGTAGGCTGCTGTTGCAATTTGACAGCCAAACGCGCCCCTAAGCGCTATTCCACGGAACTGGCGTTGTTCTGTCTGCAGCATCTTCCAAGCCTAAGAGACCGGGATGCTCAGCACGGGGATCAATTCATCTTCCGCGGCCGATCTGTTTTAGGTTTTCGATATTGCTCCTCTCGCCAAAAAGATGATATCATATGAATTTACGGCTGTTTCCTAGTACACAATAGCTCACAATTTCTGAAACATGCTGTCAAGATACATCTGAATTCAGTGTTGATCAATGTAGCATGGGACAGCTTGCACCCAATTTTACTAATTTGTACCAGTAAAATTATAATAATTTTTATAGTACATAAGATTGCACTGAAAATAATTATAACCCGGTTTAATTGCAGGTACAGCACCTTTGAAAATGTCGAGCAACATCATATCAAAACTATTATTTTGTATACTAAAATGCATATTTTAACATATTTGCCCGTTTAAGTGTGGACATATATATATATCACCTTTGCTGTAACGGAATGGCATATGTTAACGTTTTCGAGTAGTATATATCAATTACTAAAAAAAGGGTATTCTATATTCAACTCCACCACAAAGTGGTACCCGAGACAGGCATATCAGATTTGAAAACGCGAAAACGGAACAGAGCAAACAGCCTTCCGTAGGAAGAGACGCCTGCGCTGTGAAAGGCAATGTGTATTACCTTTGGTTCAAGTACTGGTTAGCAATCCGTAAGAGAGGCATATTTATGCCTTAATTTGGTACAGTTACCATGAAGAACAGATTTAATACTGTGGATATTAGGGTTGTCATTGCGGAGCTCAATGACAGGTAATGATAAGCTTACAATATTTTGGGTAGAAGCTTTTGATAGCACTGAAGTTTTGCATACACATTCTTAAATTCAGTCCCTAGTCCAGAGGTCGTAATTGTACTACTGTACATATGGTGAACTAAACAATTCCGATATTGGTAAAATATGCACCTTGACATTTATGTAATAGCCTGAAAATTGTTCCTGTATAGGCTTTTAAGAAAAAATTAAAATCAATAACCTCCCTGTCTTGTACACTTGTCTAACATCTGTGTAAAGTCGATTGCACACAGCATTGTCTTAACTAGCAGGAGTTTTTAAACTTTAAATCTTTAAAGTGTTGTTGTGGGTTATGATGTTGCTACAGGTTCCTTGGTATGAGAGTGAACAACGTTTACGACATCGACAATAAGACCTACCTCATCCGTCTCCAAAAGTAAGTGTTGTACAGTATCAATGTAAAACTGTTGAACAACGGTTGTCGCGTTAAAACATGTCAAGTTTTTTTGATCAAGCATTTCTGCATATTGGCTCTTTCAGCATCACACCCTGAAGTAAAAGAATCTGTTTCAGCTTTATTTCTTTATTTTTTATAATTGTAACTAATTCCCTTGGTTAAAAAACACGAAACATTCGGTATATAGATTTAGGAAATATGATGATGCAGACACCTACTGTACTGTAACACCTAACAAATTCAGTTTCTAACATAAACTGGTTAAAACTTTTTGTCGGGTTATAAAGGCATCATTCATTAAAAATAATTATTCGCATTTGTAAAGCATGAACCTTGAATTCAGGCATAAGTCATAGGATGTACTGTACATTCAAGCAGGCTCAGGTACGAATCTTAACAGTGAACAGGTGAAGTTTACAGAAGTTGGGGGTCTCACGGCACTGATAACCAGAGGCTTGTCTCTTACAGACCTGACTCCAAAGCTGTTCTGCTGATTGAGTCTGGAATACGCATTCACTCCACTGAATTTGAGTGGCCCAAGAATGTCATGCCTTCTGGGTTTGCCATGAAAGTAATTATGCTTTTTATGTTTTCTTAACATTTTCTTTTTGCTGTGCTGTGAAAAATAAACTTTGCATTTCCTGTTTCAGTCCGTCCGCCCATTTCGGCCACCCTCTTACCCTCCGAGGGTTACGATGGGCAGAGTGTTACCCAGCAGCTGCAGGGCACAGGGCAGGGCTGCACCATGTGTGGGACATCAGCACCTTGCTGGGCACACACACGCGCACACAGGGGGCAGAGATCCGCTCGCCCACCTGGACACCAAGCCTTTCGGCTGTGGAAAGAAACTCTTCCAGCCCTGGGGAGAACATGCAGACTCCACACTTAGATACTATAGGTTGGGTTAGAAGACAGGCACCCATGTGATATTTGTCTGTTTGCGCTTAGTAAATGTACTTTGAAAGCAGTCTGTGATGGATAAGCGTGTGAGCCAACTATCCAGGTTCATTTAAGAAATGAAACTCTTTATGAATCTCCCCAAGTTCCTACTTTCACAGTGATTTCATTTACATAAGACTACAGTGGCAAGCAGCACAATATGAGTAAAGTACAAATCTGGAGATTTCCCATGGAAAATCACTTAACCGTTTATTTTGACCGGTTATTAGTTTTCTTTTGACTTCTGTAATTATTTTACAGCTTAAATCTTCCTAACCAAGATGAGATTCAGGCATGTCCATTTGTTCTTTTGTCAAATGGAAATTTCTCTCATTCTTGGAAAACTTTTTTTATTGAAGTATATCATTGTTTTCTTTACTTTCTCAAGTGCCGCAAACACTTGAAGTCCCGTCGACTGGTGTCGGTGAAGCAGCTGGGAGTGGACAGGATCATTGATATTCAGTTCGGTTCAGATGAAGCTGCCTATCACCTGATAGTGGAGCTGTATGACAGGGTGAGATGATTGCGGTGAATTACCTTTCTTCTTTTTTAAAAAAAGGTATCTCGTTTGTGCTTTTGTTATTGTTAACATGGACAGAAGAAGAGACAGTAAGAATACTGCAAACATTATAAGCTCTGAGACTTCCTCTGAGTTTTCGTTCACATAACCACTGTCCTGATGCAGTTTGTAGTAGTTACTCGTGACATCCTCAGTTTAACTCCTGTGATGTAAGACGCACTGCTGTGTGTGCGTTGTTTTTGTATAGTGTACCATTGATCTTAATTGCCCTACATTGCTTATACAAAAGCAACATATTAATAAAGACACTGTTAAATAGGGTTGTGCTGACAGCTCTGAGCTGAGGTTTATTTTCAGTGCATATCCACCTGGACTGACTGGTCCAGTAGTGTAGACGTGCCCCTTTAGCGTTAGTCCAGTATTGTAGACACACCCCTCGTG